AGAAATGAATAGATGCATAAATGGATGAAGAAATCAATAAATATATAAATAAATTAATACATTCGTAAATATATTAATTATATATAAATAGATACGTAAATAAATAAAATAAATAAATTACATTATATATTATATAATACTATATTATAAAATATTATATTATATATTATATATTATATATTATATATTTTATATTTTATATTTTATATTTTATATTTTATATTATATACTATATATTTTATATTCTATATATTTTATATTTTATATTATATATAGGCCAATAAAATATAAATATATACATTAATTAATGAATAAATAGATAAGAAATGAATGAATAAATTCATAACTATATAAAGAATGAATAAATAAATAAACAAAATAAATGAATAAGTACAAGAAAAATACATAAATATATAAATTAATGAACGAATAAATAGAGAAATAAATACATTAATCTCTAAATAAATGAATGAATTCACAAATTTACAAATAAACGAACGAATAAAGCGATCAATAAAGAAAGGAATGAATAAATAAATAAATAAACACAGAAATATATATAAAAAACACGAGAAACATTTCAATAAATTAATGGATGAGCTCATAAATTTATAAATGAGTGGATAAAAGAAAGGAATGACTAAACAGATTAAAAAATTACGTAAATATATAAATAAATGAGTGTATCCATGAACCTATAAATAAATGAATGAAGGAATCAATAGATAAATAGATAAATAGATAAATAGATAAATAGATAAATAAATGAGTGTATTCATAAACCTATAAATAAATGAATGAAGGAATCAATAGATAAATAAATAAATAGATAAATAAATAAATAAATAGATAGGTAAATAGATAAATAGATAAATAGATAAATAGATAAATAGATAAATAGATAAATAGATAAATAGATAGATAGATAAATCAATGACCATGTTCATAAACCTGTAAATAAATTAATGAAGGAATCAATAGATAAATAAATAAATAGATAAATAAATAGATAAATAAATGAGTGTATTCATAAACCTGTAAATAAATTAAGGTAGGAATAAATAGATAAATAATTAAATAAATAGATAGATAAATAGATAAATAAATAGATTAATTAATTAATTAATCAATTAATCATGGACTCACCGGCCTCCTTCTTCAGGGCCACCTCCCTGGGGAAGAGCAGGTCGGGGTGCACCACCCGGCAGGTGAAGGGCCGGCCCGACTCCCAGTCCTCGGCGCTCACCGAGGCCACGGCGGCGGCGCCGAAGAGCCCGTTGGGCTGCAGGGCCGGCGGCCCCACCTTGGTGGGCAGGGCCTCGCCGTCCTCCCGCAGCCACGTCACCTCCAGCCCCTCGGGGCCCGCCAGGTTGGCCACCCGGCACGTCAGCTTGGCCGCCTTGTCCTCGAAGACGTCGGCGAAGAGCGGCGGCGCCGTCTCCACCTGCACCTCGGTGCCGCCCGCCCCGCCCGCCTGGTCGTCTGCCGGGGGAAAGAGGGGGTGGGTCGGTCAACTGGGAGAGGCTTTGATGGTTTTGGGGTCATTTGTGACCAAAATGATCATCCTTATTGACCAGTTGGTCAACTGGGAGAGTCTTTAATGGTTTGGGGTCATTTTGACATGGAACGGCCATTGGTGTTGACCAGTTGGTCAACTGGAAGAGTCTTTCTTAATTTTGAGTGGTTTTCACCCAAAATGACAGTTGGTGTTGACCAGTTGGTCAACTGGGAGAGTCTTTGATGGGTTTGGGGTGGTTTCAACCCAAAATGATCATCCCTGTAGACCAGTTGGTCAACTGGAAGAGTCTTTAATGGTTTGGGGTCATTTCCATCTAAATTGACCATCCCTGTTGACCAGTTGGTCAACTGGGAGAGTCTTTGATGGTTTGGGGTCATTTCCATCTAAATTGACCATTACTGGTGACCAGTTGGTCAACTGGAAGAACCTT